GATCTTGACCAGTTGAAGGCTAACGAGTAACTAGCCCTTTACGCACTGAATTATGTTTCAAAAGTGAAAAAACAATCTGAATTACTTTTCAGATCACGCGCAGTCTTTGTGTTAAACTGGCAGTAGCAACGCGCCTACTCCATTGAATGTCATTCGAACGAGTTCACAACATGTGACACTACCGTCACACTCGCGGCTAGACTCCAAACATGTAATTACTCTCGGTAGAAGCTTTTATTTTCTGTGTGACGAATTCGTCACACCAGGGCTTAAAGGGCTAGAGCACCGGCATGGCGCACTTATCGGCGAACGTTGCCGAACTCGATCATTCGAGTTATGAACGAGACAAGGCGGCAAGGCGCGGTTAAATTGACTCTGTAGTCAGCACGAGTGCCTACGGAACGGGACCTTATTTAAAGAATTATTGGCTGAAATTCATAAAGTAACAACATTTGGCGAATTTTTCCAAAAGTCGTAATAAAAGTAACAACATAAGATCTAATAAGCAAAAAGTAACACTTTTGTTACGAACGTAACACCTCTGGCTAGAGGCGGGAAAATGATGCATTGTGAAAAAAAAGTCACGCTAATCAAAACTGGCACTGCGTAGATTAAGGGTAGGTCGCAAATTTTTTTTCCGCGTTAATCAAAACCGCGGTATTCAAAACCATGCTAATCAAGGGATTGCTGTAAATGGGAACAGTGCAGTCAGTCACTCAGTCACTACTAGTCGGTGTGTGTAGAAGGTAGAGTCTGGTAGATTTATAGGACATAAAACTAGTAGATCTATTGATAGTGCTGTGCACTGTGCTATCAGCTACCTATCTGTTATGTGACTCTTCAATGTTTAGGAGATCTGCATTCTTGAAGTGTTTTTGTATATTGAAGCAAGTTAAATGGTCAATATTTAGCTCATTACCTTGCTCCATTTAAACTTTACAAAGCTGTGTTTAATAATTGTTTACCCAAAAATCCCTAAGTGGGAAACACCACCTTGGCCTGTTGGTCATTATTGAAGGCAATAAGTGCCCTTTTTAGCCATCCATTATGATCCATATAGGTACTGTTATTGTCAGTAGGCTTGAGTAAATGAGAAAATTAAAAATGAACAGATTCTAAAAAAAGCTCTGGTCATAGTGGCAAAGCAGAGAGTTTTTTAGACTCTCCCTCAAGTTTTTTTTTTTGAGTCCTATAAGTAGACCAGTAAAGTATCCTGGATACAAGCATAATCATACATAAGAAATTGGTTTAAATCTTGGTAAATGAGGAAATTAAAAATGAACTGATTCTAAAAAATCTCTGGTTAGCCACTATGACTTGAAGTTCTCAGTAGGACAGTAGCTGACTTGGACTTTCGCTCTGCGGATCTTAACATTTTTCCACTAGACCTAGTGTTTTGCGGAAATGTTGCGCGCAATAGTATGACATCACTATTTCAAGTTTTCAACCATTTATACATAGTGACAAAGCAGAGAATTTTTTAGACTTTCTCAAGTTCATTTTTGAGTCCTATAAGTAGACCAGTAAAGTATGGATACCAGCATTATCATACTTAAGAAATTGGTTTAAATCTTGAGTTTTTGGGGAAATTAAAAATGAACTGATTCCAAAAAAGCTCTGGTTTGCCACTAAGACTTATGTCAACCAAATATGTACGCATGCTTGGAAAGTTGGAAGTGGAACTAAGACCAAGCAGGACCAAGCTTAATAGTTAATATAAAGGAAAAAGTTGAGGGGTGTTGGAATTACCGTAAAATGGGGTAACTTAGACCACTTTCATTTTTATAAATGATGCCATTTTTTTACTAGCTAAATTAAACTTGAATTGAAACATGCAAAATACAGGTCTATACTCTAGCTTCACTCGCCATAAATTGCTGGCTCCTGCCTCTCATAGTCTTTATGTAATTTCAAAAAAAGTGGTGGTCTTTGTTACCCCAGCTCTTGGGGTAACTTAGACTGGGTGGTAAAATCAAATGTCAAATAGTTTTTGAGTTGTGGGGGTTTTTATTAAAAAAATGAAAAGTGGTCTAAGTTACCCCGCCGGTCTAAGTTACCCCATTTTACGGTACCTACAGTGTTTTAATATGGTGAATTTACCCTACTTAAATATAAAGAAAAAAATATTTCATGATTCATACGTATACAATAATGTAATTTTACTAAATATTCAACATTGAACTTAACACAACCAATCCAAGAATTCTATACTGAATTCTGGAATATCAGGCAACATGCATTTTAGGCAAATTCTTGCATGTTACTATAATTGAAATTTGAAAATGATTGTTTCACAATTTCACAGATTTCAAAAATGGCATGCAAACGATATCCCTTTTCCCTCAACTCTTACAATAAAAATTTGAAAAAGATCATGGGTGAAAGTTAGTCCATGCTGGCATAGGAGTGAGTGTGTAGTACTGTGTAGTGTGTACTAAGGCTCAATCTTGAAGTTTTACGTTTTTCTTTGCCTACAATAGAGTATAGACACACCTCTTTCAGTCCAGGCGTCAGCAAGTCACAGTGGCGAAAAGAACATCAAACGAATGTGGCGCCAAACTTCTCTAGTGACGAACAAGACATCCATTTACTGCCGCGGAAAAAATTGTGATTCCGAATATTAAGAGCAAACTGACAAGACAAGCGAAATGTGAATGTAATTTGTAAAAGGCACGCGGCAAGAGGTTTAAAAGTGTAGAACTGTTCTGAGGATCGTCATATGGCACGGAGTGAATCTTTTTGTTAATAATGATATTTTTTTAAGCCTTCCCTTCATTGTGCACTATTTTCATTTCTTGGAATTGGAAATGGTTGCAGTTAAAAATTACGGAATTACTTGCGCCGCTTTCTTACACGGATCAATTGTTCGCATGAGAATCTATGTAATCCTGCATTCAAATTTTATCCACGAGGGCGTCAACATACGCGGCAATTTCGTTGCGGGCTTTGCTGTCGGGCGGACGTGTGTTATTAGCTGCTCTGTTCTTGGGGTACTTGATGCTAATTGATCGTTTTCCCTGACAATTGAGGAGACTTGGCATTCGATAATTGCTTTTCTGTGGGCCTTATTTGTAGCCAAAATCACATAGCCTATTCATACGTTCTGTTTAGTTTTCCTAATTTACTTTTTGTTTGCTACTTAATTCATATATTTTTGTTAGTTATTTTTATTAGGGTAAACGCAGTATATTCCGACATCGTAGGTAATTCCGTCACTTCTCTAGTTTTTGTTTTATATTAAGCTTTGTTTTAGTTCCATGCGTTCATTGATGGTTGAAATGGTGACGTCATACATTTGCGTGTCGAAATACTGCAAAAACACTAGGTCTTGGCCATCTAGCGGGAAAAATATTGAGATCCAAAGAGAGACAATGCATGCCACGTGGTGAGATCATTGAAAAATGTGTCAAATTTGACAGTTGACATGGCTCTACCAAATAGTGAATAACTGTTTTTATAGGAAGAATATTATGCTTTGAGACTTAAATACGTCCTGTCTCTTATACACATCTAGATGTGTATAAGAGACAGCCATCATACAGACCACTGCTCCACCTGAAAATCAAACAGTAAATTGCCCCCCTAAAAGTAAGAGACAGAGTGTATTGCAGCAAAGAAAGAGTCACCAGGGAGCCAGCAGCTCATCCAAGAGAGCACAGAGTCGTGGTCAAGGCAACAAAAACTGCAAAATGTTTCCCTCAACTTGTACCTCTGGTCGGATTAGGCATGCCCCACTTATGGAGCAGCGCCTTGTTGTTCGATTCAATTGCCATGGTCTACACAACAAATTGACAGAATTCAAAATTTTTCTTTATTCCCAGAAGCCAGACGTAGTCTGTCTCTGTGAGACCTGGCTTAAGAATGCGGAACCACGTTTTGTGGGATACCAATGTTTTTGGTCTCACAGGTTGAGGGCCCCTAGGGGAGGATTAGCCATACTAGTGCGGTGTGACCTATCTGCTCATACTTTGCAAGTGAGCCCCTTTCCAGTGGGTAGTCTGGAAATCCAGGCTATCCAAGTCCAATCATCTCTAGGCTCAGTAAGCATTGGAAATTTTTACAATCCATGAGCCAATATCTCAAAAGCTGAGTGCCTCTCATGCTTTGAGCAGTTTAGGCCCCCCTGCATCTTGACAGGTGACTTTAATGCCCACTCGCCAGTGTGGGACATGCGGGGCCGCTACAACCAGACTGGCAGGTCACTAGAGGCAGCGGTGGACACTCTGAACTTGGGTGTTTTAAATGACTCTTCTTTTCAAACCTACATTGACAATAGAACTGGCTCCACATCCTGCTTAGACTTGTTTATCTTATCACCCAACCTTCTCTCATGCTCCTCATTATGTAGAGAGAGAGACCTTGGAAGCGATCACTTTCCAGTCTGCTGTACAGTTGGCATATCAGTAGACCGAGCCACAGAAACAATACCAAAAAGGTGGAAATTGTATGCAGCTGACTGGGCTAAGTATTTATCAGCCCTGGACAGCAATGGACCTCCAGATGCAAGTGAGCAATCAGCAGAAATTATGTGCACACAATTGACAAACCGTATAGTCTCTGCTGCGCAAGGAGCCATACCACGCTCTAGTGGGGTTCGTCACTTTCGTTTCTCCACACCGTGGTGGAATGCAGAATGTGCCGAGGCAGTCTCAAAGAGAAGGCTTGCTAAGACCAGACTCTGGCAATCACCCTCCCCATCTAACCTCATAGAGTTCAAACGACTTGAAGCTACGGCACGCTGGCTCAAGTTGCGGAAGCAGAGGGCTAGCTGGGAGCAGTTTGTTAGCACTTTATCAGCCACTACCACCACAAAGGCAACTTGGTCTAAGATTCGAAGCATACAAGGCAAAACTCTCCCATACATGCCTACCCCACCTCTCTCAAACTTTCCCATGTCAGATGATTTTGGGAAAGCATCTGCATTCAGTCACCACTGGTTTCCTTTTTATGAAGCTCTGGTTCCTTCCCAGGAAGTCAGGGCAGCTAACACCAAGCTGTCCCAACTCACTCATTTTGACTCTGAACCTTTCACACCAGGCGAGTTGAACTTGGCTCTCCAGGCTCTAAAGAATACTGCTCCAGGCCATGACAATGTGATGAATGTGTTTCTTCAAAAACTACCATCCCCAGTCAAACTTGCGCTTCTGGATATTTTTAACAAATGCTGGAGCTCCGGATCAGTGCCCGAGAGCTGGAAGCAAGGTTTCACCTGCCCCATCTTAAAACCAGGTAAAGACCTAACCCAGCTGGCCAGCTATCGCCCCATCACCCTCCTTCCCTGTATAGGGAAACTGATGGAGCGCCTAGTTCTATGTAGACTTGAATATTTCCTTGAGCAAAATAACCTGCTACCATCCCTACATTTTGGATTCCGAAGAGGTTGTAGCACTCTAGATGCCTTACACATGCTGAAGAATGAGATAAGGAGTACAGTAAAGCAACCCCTATACTGTGTGGTTGTATCTTGGACCTTCAAGCTGCCTTTGACAGTGTTTAGCATCAAGGCTTGCTATATAAGTTGAGTGTAAACTGGAAGTCTCTGAGCAACTGTTAGTCTGGCTACATAAATACCTTGAGAATCGATCCTCAAGAGTTAGAGTTGGAGATACACTGTCAGAGCTCAGGCCTGTGAAAATAGGGGTCCCGCAGGGTGCTGTGTTGTCCCCAGCTCTGTTCAATGTGATGCTTTCGGATGTTCCCACTTCCACTGTTGTACGCATCATAGGATATGCCGATGACCTAACGTTGGTTGCTTCAGCATCCTCTCTTCAGTCATTGCAAAGGAACATGCAACTGTACCTCACACAGTTTTCCTTGTGGTGCAACAAGTGGCATTTTATCCTAAACCCTGACAAGTGCGCATATCAATTATACTCCAGAAGTCGCACGTCTCCACAGATTGTACTCCGAATGTATGGACGACCTATCACCTCTCAGGAGAAGCGAGTATTAGGAGTGATCTTTGATTGCCCTAAGTTGAACTTTGCCGCTCATGTGTCAGCAGTTCGTGCAGACTGCCAGAAGCGCCTGAATGTTCTCAGGGCTCTGAGTGCCCTAAAGTGGGGTGCTTCTGCTCACCTATTAAGGCGTGTCTATGTGGCATTTATACGCAGCAAGCTGGAGTATGGTAGCAGCATCATAAGTGAGCTACCCTCTCCCAGCATGAAGCTGCTAGACAGTGTACAAAATAGTGCACTTTGCCTCATACTGGGTGCTCGTCGTACCTCACCAATTATATCCCTGGAGGCAGAATGCTTTCTTCCACCACTTCGTCGCCACTTCCGCTTCCTGTTCATGAAATGGAGTCTTCGTTACGCCTACTCTCCTACACAAGCCAAAATACCAAGTTTGCTAGGACTTGACCCCAATGGTGCCCAGTACAACCCACAGCCATTTGCCACTCATGCGCGCTTCTTGTTCCGGTCCATTGGAATTACTATGCCTCGACAGGTGAGAACCTCAGCATTCTCACCAATTCCTCCCTGGGTCTCGTTACAAAACCAGATATGCTTTGACCCTGGTAGTGGCCTAACTCTGCACAGTGGTGACAACCATTTCTCAACCATGATTGCCTATAGAATGGACAAGTTTTATCATGGACATATCCCAATTTATACTGACGGATCCCGCACAGAGGCTGGGTCCGTCTCTGCAGGTGTCTACATTCCCCAGCTTTCGACCGCTACTGCCTGGTTGCTGTCTCCTAGTCATACGGTGATGGGTGCAGAGTTGTTTGCCATATTCAAGGCTTTGGAAATGGCACTTAATTGGATGGAACTGAAAAACCATCAAGTTGTGATTTTTACAGACTCCAAAGCTTCTTTGCATTTGATCCTTAACACCCGACGCCCCAACTACTCAGCAATAGTCTTCAGGATACAATCACTACTTCTCCAGAGAGGACTGAGCACCATAGCCTTCTGCTGGGTGAGGGGTCATAGTGGGATTGCTGGAAATGAGGTCGCAGACCGGACTGCAAATCTAGCACACAGTGCAGATAGGTCTTCCCGCTCCATACTCTCTTTTGAAGAGTCTCTGCAAGCAATATCCCAGGCCTTCAGCAGGCATTGGCATGGATACTGGGAAACCCAAGTAGCTGACACTGGCTGTGGCCAATTTAGACACGACCTTGACAATAGTATAACATATATTGACTATAGTTCCTTGGCCAGGCCATTACAATGCGCCGTAGCCCGCCTCAGTCTTGGCCATGCTGGTGTAGCTGCTCACCATGCTCGATTTGGAATGGCAGCAACTGGAGTTTGCACAGTATGTCAATTTGAGGACAATATAGCTCATTTCTTATTATATTGTACCAGATTCACTGGTCCAAGAGCACCCTTCATGAGTGCACCCATCATGAGTGCACCAACAGCGTCACCAGATATTTTCATATCTGCAGCAATATTTGCTGCAATGCGGAGTGGTTGCCCTGATGTAACCTGAAAAAATAATAATTAAGTGGCCGCCCTTGATGTTGATCCTCTGAGGTATTTTTTTTTTTTGTTCTTTGTTTTCTCTTTTATTTATTTATTTTTTATAACTTTTTTTTTAGTTTATTTTTTTCTCTTTTCCTCACTGCATGTTCCAATCATGCATGTTTCTCGTGTTCTTGCTTATTAGTCTAAATAGTATGCATGTTGCACTTTAATGTATAGATGAACCTCTGCATGCCACTGTCATTCAGCATAGTGACTTACTTTGACTG